TACAGTGGGGCCTTGACTTACGAGTTTAATTCGTTCCGAGACCGAGCTCGTTAAGGAGCTCATTAAGGAGCTCGTTAACTCAAATTACTCTATCAACTCAATGCAAAAAATCTGCTGAGAGACAGCTGGTATCTCAAAAAACTCGTTAGTCGGGACACTCGTAAGTCAAGGCCCCACTGTGTGTGTGTGTGTGTGTGTGTGTGTGTGTATGAAACATCAATGATGAGAGAATCACTAATCGGCTGCCTCCTGCACACCCCCCACTGGGGATCGAGCCTGCAACCCAGGCATGTGCCCTTGACTGGAATCAAACACAGGACCCTTTGGTCCACAGGCCAACACTCTATCCACTGAGCCAAACCAGCTAGGACGGCATTTAAAAAAAATGATCTTTTCATTTGAAGTATAAGATCATCTATAAGGAGAAAATGTTTGTGAAGAAGGCCAGGACCAGCACTTACACCTACAGAAGTGAGAAAACCACAAACAAAACTGCCATAGCACAACTGCTCATTCTCCTAGGATCCTAGCACTGGGTAGAAACTGAGCTTGAAACAACAGAAAACCTCACTATTGCAAACTAAGGACAAGAGTTAGTCAACTAGACTGGTTCCCTCAATTTACCCCCCGCAGCACATGCAGTTCCTGTCCACTAGGTGGTGCTCTCCACCACATGGTTCCTGGGGGAACAGTACAGTACATCAAAATGACAACAGCCTGGTTTTAAGATGATTTGTCTCCTGAGGATATACATTTGGTTTAAGTTTCCACTGCAAAGTTAAAGTTCTTAAGATAGGTCATGCAGATCAATTGCTCCTGTAATCTGAAACTCAAAAGAGCAAGTAATATCTAAACAAGGGGAGGGGGAAGCCCTGAGCTCATAAGGGTCTCTAAAAGCCAGGAGACAGTCAGCCTGGCTACCTCTAATCTCATCATCAAAACTGTTACCTTGTCCAGTTTCTGCTTCACATCAGCAAAGAGAAGAGTGAAATGAACTGCGGGTGGTACAAAGGGAGAACATGCATTCAACTTCCATACTTCTTGATAGATGCCAATAATTTACACTCAACAGAAAACACTACGTGATAACATTTGAACCCTCGAAGTTTAAGTGCTTTGCTCTACTAAAACATACTTTTTCTCTGTTAGTAAAAGCAAAAGCCAAGGAACCAATGTGTGTTTTACCATGAAGCTCTGAGAAAGCGCTGGGTAACAAGATACAGAGCCTTGCCCCCAAAGCCATCTTTCTGAGTGAATGGGAATAAAATGCAGAGCATGCCGGCCTCGACCAATTGTACAACTGCTCAAATTCCAAGCAAAACCCAGGGCCTTGTTTCATCATTCCTCGTCTTCCAAAACTCAGATTCCTTTCCCTCATTATGGTGTTCTTTGGAGTAAATAGGCATGAAACTTAAAGTACTTCCGTACACATGCCAAAAAAAAGGCAGAAAATATTATTCCAAGAAATAAATCACAAAAAATTCTAACAGCTTCTCTGCTTGAAAAAAAAAAAGAAAATAAAATTTAGTTGTTTCTGAAATTTAAAGAAACTGTAGCAAACTACTAGCTGCTAAGTTTTATAAAATGGAAACAGACTAGTCTGATGAAAATTGATTTTTAGTTAAGTGTTCAAAATAGCATAAAATCAGTAGTCCCTAATTATAACACTTGCCAGAGAAAAATCTGTGTGTAAAATAACCAGAAAAATAACAGTTAGATCCTGAGCTGTATATTACAGATCTTCACTCTGAGAATCAAAGTTCTCTTTTCCTCCTACTTTTAAGATATACTGTTTTACTAAGAAACAAAAAAAATGTTTAACTCCCATATTTGAATTTTATATTCAGAACTCATTCTTAAAGCCTTAAAAGGTAAACCAGCATATACAATTTAAATCCCTTTAACAGTTTTTCAGATCATTAGGTAAAGCCTTTAAAACATGACACACACAAAAATTTCCATTCTTATCACAGCAACAAATTTCAGGTTAACATCACATATCAATTTGTAAGCCATAAAAGTGTCACCAAAATGTAACACTGTCCCCCAAACACACACACACACACACACACACACACACTTTTAAGGGACAATGTAGCAGCATCACTGAGGGAAGGAGATTCAAACCTGACCATGCTCAAGAGCTCCTTAGAAGCGCTGTAGCACTAGTCAGTATCTGATCCAACGCTGGCATGACTGCTACTTCAAAAGTGCGATATGTAACAACTGGCAAATACCTTCCCACACTTAATGCCAACATGCGATTGTGAGGTTAATGTTATAACAATGAGATTTAAACCACATTTTAATTAAGGTTTTTAAATTTTATTTGTACTTTCTATATTGTGGTGTATTTCAGTAATTAAACCAACTAAAACATTTTTCCTCTTTACAAAATTAGTAATTTCTTCATATGCTAAAATGGAATGCTTATTTTATAAAAAAATAGTTTAAATTTTCCTGGCAACTAAGTAAGTATTTTGTTTTTCAAATGGAATCTATAAACATATATGTACTGTCTGTGCCCATCATTGAAAAGGGGCATGTTGGGGACTTCTAGGACAATCACGAAGGTTCTTTTAGGAAAGCAAACACCCACGCTGAAAATTCACATGGAACCCTTATTTTCAAGTGCAGCCCAAGTCTTTGTTTCAGATCCACATAAATCACCACTCTTCTCTCTGGAAATGAGTTTTGGAGAAAACATTATTAAATGTTACATCTGACTTTAATAGAGTCTCCCAATTTGCTTTTGCATGTTTATTATCAAAGTCTAATCACGACTTTCCCAAACTTATTTATACTTTCACACAAACTTCCAAAGTTTTCCAAACTTAAATAAAAACCCACAAAAACTGTGGGAAATGTTTCGCTTGAGAGATAAAAGTAAATTGGTCCAAATGTACATTTGCAATAATCAGTGTTTACTTTCAGCTTACAGCACTTTCAATATCTGCACTCAACTTAATTTTCTTGTCTCTTAGAAAGAAGGAGGGAAAGTAGTTTTATTCCCCCCACTTTGCTCTCAAAATATAAACTCACTTAATGCAGAGCACTTGCAGCAGGCGTGTCTTCAACTGCAAGCAAGCCGTCTCCCCAGCGCTCAGGCTGCGGACGAAATGATTTCCTTCAAGACCGGGGTCGGAAGAGTTTATGAATCTAATTTCACGTTTCCTAATAAAATGAAGGTGTTTGACTATAAAGACACAATTAAATTTTAGTAAATGAAAATAACAAAAGAACTGATATGACAAAACTAAAGTGGGAAGGAGGATGAGTATTAACTCATTTAGTTAAAAATTTGTTTTTTTTTTCCTTTAAGTGTCTCTACAATAGACTTTGCACTACATTTATTAAAATATGACAAACTTTTAATGTGGGAACAATTTACCAGTTAGCATTATCTCCTGAAAGAGGACGTATACTGTGGGTAAGTAAAACCCTAGAAACTATTTATGCTGCCCTTGCTCAAAGCTGCTGAGAAAATGGCTCTGTGTGCACTTTAAAAATAATCATGAAAAACCAGTTTAAAGGGTGACTGTGACACAGCTAATCTACAAGCCAAGGGAGGCCATTTCACTCTTGAGACAGAAATTTGTCTCTCAGAGGGGACCTAAGCCATCCATACAGTAATTCATGTTAAAGTTCATAAAACTATAAAGAAATATTCTAACAGAATGGACATATTTTAAAGTTTGTATGACTGGCAACAGAAAAAATTTTTTATCCTTTAAAAAAATGTCTCCTGACAAGAGATTCTAGTTTTGAAGTATGTCACACCCCAGTTCCCCAGCCACGAATCCCAGTTCATTTTTTAAAATGAGGTCTATTTCCTGTAATTTTCGATATTTTAGAGTACAATTATTTTACATTTTTATGATGCCTTTGGGGTATCATTACAAATATTTTTATGTGTTTAAACTTAGGAAAGTAAAATTAAGTAATAGCTTCTCTTAAAGGGAGCTGTCAGCTCTCTCCTGAAGAAAAATCTTTGTTTTAAAGCAATCTAGAGATTTATATCCCTAGTAACCATAGAAATTAATCTTAAGCTTTAGGGGGAAAAATTGCATAAAATGCCCTTTATTTAATTAAAATCAGAGCTCTGCCCTTAGAAATAAGGACCCTCCTTTGAAGAGAAAGAACTTTCCACAGAGTAGGATTGTTTTGACTCAAGGTGGCACTCTTTGTGATAAATTAATCAAACACGTTTAACTGACTCGAATTTTTCTGCACAGAAAGTTAAATACTTTGTGGAAAGGTTTTGCTCAAGGAATCCATCCACTGAAAACTGAGTAAGAAAAGAAAGTGAAACACCCCGGATCCAAACAGTGCTTGTAGACTGTGTGAGCAGAAAAGGGAAGAGTGAAGAAAAGACTTTAATAATAACGAGGAGAGTGCTCACAGCGGAAGTCACTTTGTTTTCATTAGGAAACTAAAAATACCATTCGCCGGCCTTAACACGAAGATCCATCAACACGTCGTAACTCAGAGCATGCTGGCCATGACCCTTGCTTTCTGTTTCACATGCACTAAAACAGAGACGGTCCGAATTCTGCTTATCACCCATGACTCAGAAGTTCATTTCAGAGAGAAGGTGGGGGGTGGTGTGTTTTTTTTCTGGGGGAAAGGCAAGGCCCTCTGCACCACTCCCTCCTGGGACGGAAGGAATGCGTGCGTCTGAAGGGTGGTAAAGACAAACTCTTCAAACGTTTTTAAAAAGTCAAAGTTTCAAAGCTTGTAAAATTCAGGTTTTGATGAAATTTGTGTACTACCAAATTTGATTAACTTTTATAGCTTCAAGTTCTTCTCTACAGTGAATAATTTTAAAAGCTAAGCCACATTCTGTTTCCATTATATTAAAAAAAACAAAAACCCAGACATTTCTGAAAAAAAAAAAAAAAGAGATAAACACAAAAAAGCTTAGTGTAGCACCAGGAAGCAAAGATACTGACGATCATGTAAAAAACAAACACTTTATTTGTAAGGCGCTCACAGTGCATTGTAAGCACAAGCCAATCCAACAGCAGTGTTTCTGCTCTCAGACGCCCAGTCTTTAGAGAGGCCAGGAAGAGGCGTTTCTCCCCGGGGCTTAGGTGCTGCGAGGAGCCTACACATTTCCCATGCTCTTCGGTGAGCAACCCCACTTTCTGGAAAAGACGGCATTTCCTCCCCACACCGCCCGTGGCTGATTTTACAGTCCTACAACGGAAGCAGTTCCTAAGCATTTAAGAGAATCAAGACATCTTGGCCCATGGAATGAGCTGCAAAGCGGGAGAGAAAACGCTGAGGAATCATAAATGAGAATGGGTGGCTTCCCCTGTGCCTGACCCCAGTGGGTCTAAAACGATTCCTCTATGGAAAAAAATACCAAAAACAAACAAAACAGGAACCAAGAATTTAGACTCAGATATTAGAAAATGACGCATCTTGCCTTTCACTCCAGGCTGTGTGCTTCTCTAGCAATTAGTCGCCGCAGTAAACACCATGTGTGTCAATGAATCACTTTTCACTTTTAATTCAAATTAAATAAACGAGGACAGAAATCTAGAAATATACTCTAAAGCATCAATAGAAAATGTTTATAATAGCTTAAAAATAATTTCAAAGGATAATGCTGTTTTGAAACTTTACAATATGATGTGTGGTAAAAGCAACATCAACGTTCTTTTAACAGTATCGCTGGAATCCCTGCGCTTGCCCTCTGCTGACCTTACACGTGCCAGAACCTCCGAAAGATACAAGCACCCATATTCACGGAAAACACAAGAACTTCATGCGCTTTTTGTATGCCTTTCCCTCCTCTCCCCCTTGTGCAAGAATAACCAACAAGGTACATGCAGACTCTTCTTGTGCCACCTGAGCCCCGCCTCCCAGGGCCGTCTCCTGTGGGATTTCATCTAACAAGCAAAGCCTTACACGGGGTCAGACACCCAGGCCTGCAAAGCTGTCGAGGGCTCTGTAACATACGCAAGCGTACGGAGGAGCTAATGCAAATGCTGTGAGGTCAAAGGGAATGCTGAGCACAGCAGTGAGGAAGCCTGTACTAACCACCTATGTGCACACGGTACACAATGGCCCACAGTGTGCCCTTGGTCAAGTCCCTTCCACAGGCTCCAATTTCCTTGCTTGGAAAATGAAGGGACTGCATTCTCTGGTCCCTACGGTCTATTTGAGCCCCAGAAATTCCATGACTTCTTGCATTTGACTGAAAACTGAACTGTATATTTTATTTTTTAAATTGAATTTATTGGGGTGACATTGGTTCTCAAAACCATACAGTTTCAAGTGTACAACTCAATAAAACATCGCCTGCACACTGCACTGCGGCCCACTGCCCCAAGCGAAGCCTCTTTCCATCCCCCTTCCCCCCTCCCCCCCTTTTCCCTCTGGCCATCACCACACCGTTGTCTGTGTCTATGGATTATACATGTATGTTCTTTGGTTAATCCTTTCACCTTCTTTCATCCAGTTCCCCCAACCTCCCTCCCCGCTGACAGCTGTCAGTCTGTCCCATGTATCCATGCCTGTTTCCATTTTGTTCGTTAGCTTATTTTGCTCATTAGCTTCCACATGTAAGTGAGATCATACAGGACTTGTCTTTCTCTGACTGGCTTATTTCACTTAGCACAATGCTCTCCAGGCCCATCCGTGCTGTCACAAAGGGTAAGAGTTCCTTCTTTTTTACAGCCGGGTAGTATTCCAGGGTGTAGATGTCCCACAGCTTTGTATCCACTCATCTGTGATGGGCACTTGAGCTGTTTCCAGATCTTGGCTATTGTACATATGCTGCAATGAGCATAGGGGTGCATACATTTTTTCGAATTAGTATTTCAGGTTTCTTAGGATATATTCCTAGAAGTGGGATCACTGGGTCAAAAGGCAGTTCCATTTTTAATTTTGTGAGGAAACTCCATACTGTTTTCCACAGTTGCTGCACCATTCTGCATGCCCATGAGTAGTATATTTTAAAGTGATTTTTCATATCCAAGTTTTATGTGTAACTGTGCTTAAGTTACAAGGGAAAAATTTAGCATTTGTTTCTGATGACCTACTACATGACAAAGCATGTTCCATATTTTCACATATCTCATTTAATCTTCATAACAATCCTCTGATATGATCACCTTTCCCATTTTATAGGTAAGAAAACTGAGGCTTAGATCTGCTAGCGTTGATAAAATCAGATCTGTCCCATGAACTCTCCACACTCTCCCACACATCGTGGGTCTGCCTGATGCAGAATGCCAACAATGCACTGACTCGCCGTGGAGGAATGACCAGTGCAGTGCTGCGCGTGTGTAAAATGCTGTGCAGGGTACACACAGGCAGGAGGCATGTCCCGCTCTCCACGGGCCCTACCTTACAGGGCCAAACCATGAGGCTATACACCCTTGACTGCAAAAGTCCATTAAAAACCTACATGTGCCATGAAATCGGCGGACGGAAAAGGTATGACGGACCGGAAAACACGGAGGGAGTGACGTGGGCCCTTGGGAACGGCAGCAGAGGGAAGACTGTCTCAGGTGGGGCCAGGTGCATTTACTTCTGTCTCTGGTGATTCTAATGGACGAGCAGAGCTGAGAACCACTGTGCGGGCACAGGAAAGCGGACTGTGGAGTCGGACTGCGGGATCCAATGGAGCTCTGACAGCCAGCTGCGTGGCCATTCCCGAATGACTTAACCTGCCTGTGCCTGTTTCTTCATTTGTAAAATGGGAAGATGGCAGTGCATACCTCCTATGGTGCATGAGGATGAAACGAGCCGTCTTCTGCGAAGGGCTCAGCAAAGGGCCTGCGTACAAGTACTGGCGAAGGCTGGGGGCCCTGGCGCCCAGGGAAGGGGTCCCTGCGAGCTGGTGGCAGCTTCCTCCTCCTCCTCTTTCATATGCAAGTCGTGTGTTTAATGCAAAAAATAAATGCTAACTTTATGCCAAAGCAGGACCAGCTCCAGCTCTCCCCACGCCTGCGTCTACATTTTTAAACAGGAAGAAAAACACGATAAAATTCACGTTCAGGTAAAGTAATCTGTGGAGTGAACTGTAACCAGGTTTTTTAAAGGAGGTTCTCACGGGGTCCTGGTGTGGAGACATGGAACAAGGTAAACGGCCTGAGAGCTGGAAATAAACGACAGGCACAGTGATGCCACCGTGAGCACCCACCGGGCTCTACGCATGTGCACGCCCAAAACGGGGCGGGAAATGGACGCCCGTGATGAGCGCATGGGAGTCTTCATCCTATTGTCAAATTCACTTCCTCAAATAAGTGGAACTTCATCAGGATCTCTGTCACATACACTTTCCAAGACAAGATTTCCCTCCCTTCTTCCCATGTACTCTTTACATTCCCAAGAGAAAGGTCCTCAATTTAAGAATGAAGAAACTGAGTCCGAGGGACTGCCCAAGGCCACTGTTAAGTGAGATGAACATGATTCCTTAAAAAGCAACCCCAGGGGAGAGGCCGGGGGAAAAGCAGAGGCCGGGGCAGTAAAACAGTGTCCACAACCTGTGGAGGACCCTCCCACGCTGACACCTCTACCCCGCCCCGCCCCGCCCTCAGAACAGCCCCCCTGGACCCTGTGGCCGCAATTCCTGTGTTCGCTGCTGTGAGCTCGAGACCACCGCTGTCTTCTTGGGCCTCGGCCCCACGCCCCACGGCTGGTCCCTGTTGCCCATTGTGCTAACCAGCCAATCTGCCAGCAATCCCACGGACTCCATCTCTGCAATGGAGCCTGAATCCCGCCCCTTCTGCTCAGCCCTCAGCCGTGAGGGCGGATTCCTCATGGCTGTCCCTGCTTGGCAGGTTCTCCCCTTTCCAGCCCCACGTCCACCCTCGTGTGCCTCCCACCCACTGGCCCCAGCCTGCATGCCAGGGAGGAGGAGCTGAGGCGGGGATATGTGTGCTGTTCGCAGTCAGGAGCTGTGCCTGCCATTCTCAGCCTCACACATCAGGATGCTGCTGCCCTGCCCGACTGTGGGGACAAAGCCCGGCGCTTCACCTGCACCCCTTCCCATGCTGACTAACTGTGTGCTTTGTTATTCTGTGACTAACACCAAACACATCAGCAGAAACTACACATCTGTTCACCCCTGCAGCAGGCATGGTTTTAGGCTGTCCTGCAAATGTTAACTCAGTTCTCGGTAACAACTTTACGAGGCAGCTTTATTATCTGTATTTTGTACACGAGGACGCTGAGGCACAGAAGGTTAAATACTGAGCGCAACACCACTCAGCTAACAGGCAGCACACCTGGATGAAAACCCAGTTCATCTGGCTCCAGCCACTGCTCTTCTCTGCTGTCTACACTGCCTGTCCCGCTAGACCTCCAAGATCTGCCAATGAAAAGCCACCTGGTCCTACCACGCTGAGATACAGCTATGATGGCCACAGTGAAATCTGATGGTGCCTGCTGAGTTAAACTAAGATCAGCTTTATCTTCTAACACACAAGCATGTAAGGAGACATGCTGTATGTGCATAGTGTACTGCAAGCATGTCAGACTCGCGGCCCATGGGCCGCATGCCTCGTT